TCACAAATCAAAAATTTGTACGTCACAATTTATTCATCGGTCACAAATCTATCAAATTAATAAGTCACATATTATTCATTGGTCACAAATCACAAATTTTATATGTCACAAATTATTTTACGGTCATAATTCAAAAATTTTATAGGTCACAATATGTTCATCGATCACAAATAAATAATTTATGTCACAATTATTTATCGGTCACAAATCACAAATATTATAAGTCACAATTAATTAGACAATCAAAAATTATTAAATTATCGGTCACATATTAACAATTTTTTAGGTCACGCATTATTTCTTGGTCACAAATTATCGAATTTTAAGGTTACATTTTAATAGTTAGTCATAATGAACCAAATAATTGGTCACATATACCAAAACTCTACCCCCAATTCCAATCCACCAACAATACTCAAATCAACAAAATAATTGGTCACGGACACTATCCCACCGTTGTCGCTACCACAACACCACCACCAACAAAGCCACCACCACTAGATCCAATACTCCCAACAAATATCATCACAACCACCCCTGCCATCAGCCACCAGCCACCTACACCGTCGCCACCACCATTTTTGCAACACCACCATCACCACATCACACCAGCAACACCACCGCACATACCACTAGTCACCACCACCAAAATAACACCACACACCACCACAGGTCACCATCGCCGCCGCCACCATCACCATCGTCTACCACTACCCCCACTGCCCCGACCTCCACTTGCACCACCAACAAAAACCTCAACAACTCATTGTCACGCTGACCGCCACCAAATCCACCACACTAACACCACCATGCTCATCACCGCCAGATCCACCATCACCGCCAGCACCTCTACCTGGACAACCAACAAAAATCCCCAAAAACACCAAAACCACCCAAAACCACCACTACCACCACCACCACAGACAGCATCAACACCACCACTACACCCCCAAGCAGATTCATCGTCATCGACAGAATCTCACCGCCGCAGTATCTCATCACCGCCACGACGACATGAAAACCACTGCAAGCAAAATGTTAACTTGAAAATTCTGGTTCCATATAATTTTCACATGGTAAAACATAATTCTACTAGTGATGGGATTGGGCTAACCCAATAATACAAGTCCAATAATAAAAAACATAAATAATGAAAAGAAATTCTCAATAGAAAAATGATGTCCGCATCAGGATATGTCCACGATGGAAGTTTATTGTGTTCTTTTTTTTTATATAAGTTAAAGACCAAAAATCTATTAGTAATTAAGATTAAATTTTAATTGGTAATTAGCATAACCTTTTTTTATTTTAAATTACTTATGCATGTCTATTCAAATCATTTAGCCCCTCTTTCTAAGAGATTGGAATGCAAATAGAGAACACCCTCAGGCAAGCCTCATGACTTGGTGCTGGTTGACGTGACAATAATGACATATATCGATAAATGTCGCAATCTGTTTACTAAGATTTTCATTGATTATTAATGCATCCGTTCCATTATCACAGAATTATTTCCCCAAAAATTGCAAAGGAGCAGGATTTTGTGGGGATTTAAAGTTATTTTTAAACTATTATTAATTATTGGCTGAGTTTTATATTTTCATACTTCATTCATTAATTTCCACTGGTAAATTAAATTTTATAACTATTTTATTAATAAAAATGAGATTATTGTTTTAAAAAAAAAAATAGGATTATTAATTAGAAGATAAAGTGAAAATGCAAAAAAAAAAAAAAAATTCCAGTACCTTCTGAAATTTGGAATCTTAAACGTAAGAACTTGAAAGTTCGACTCACTTAGCAAAATGTGCAAGAGTTATTTCCTATGTCCAATTGAACATTGCTTGCCCCTCAATGCCATGTTCTCTAGTGTGCAGTTGGGTATTAGGAATGTGTTGAATTTAAAATGACCCAAGACAACGGGTATCTCGACTCTTGCATTGACAAGAATGCAGCAAAATGCAATACTTGTTATGAATTGTAGAATTCAATGAACCATCGAGTCGTTGAACTCAGGTTATGCCTGAAGCCATCGTGCTAAGGACATGTCTATATGGACATCACGTATTGCGTTGCCCTCCACCTATGCCTGAAAGGATTTATAGGTGTTGAGCTGAATATTAGCCTCCTGTTCGACTTGGTCTGCAGCTAAAAAGATTACCTCCGGGATGGAAACTGCCTCATGGCCACTAACCTGCAAAAGATTTGCTGGTCGCTTCGTGCAATTGCCACAATTGATTTTACTTAGATTCTCCATAAATTCTGAAATCATAAATACAGTGAAATCGAACATGTGACATCTTGACCTCCTAGCTACTTAGTTCCATGTAAGTTTGCTTTGCAATTAAAAAATATTCTACAAAATGCATCTTAATCCCTACTCGAGTTTAGCTCAAATAGACTCCAATTATAAACATTGTTAATGTCGATTTAACTGCATCGTTTCATTTTAAGAACCATTTATTTATGCATCGTTAATCTCAACCACTCAATCAAAACATTACGTATCTCTCTTCGGCATGTCAAATGCAGTTATTA